ATACCTGTCTACATAAAACACAGTGCATGATTTGAACTGCACATCAAGGTCATTCCAAGGCATTTCTGATAACAATAAGCCGATGGAAATCTGTCATATTTTTTCTTACTCTTTGTAATCACTTTATTGTTTTATCTTTCCATAAAACAGTTTTCATCACTTGCTTCTGTTGCCAGATCAGAAAGAGTCTTTTTTTGTCAAGCATCTAGGCCGGTATCTCAGAAGGCAAGGGGGTCTTGTTTCTGTTGAAATCGGTTCAGACCAGGTTGGGTGGGTTTTTAAATATTTTGACACTGGCTTCTTTAATTTGAATCGGCTTGTTTATGTTCTCACCTCAGTAGAGGGAATCATACAAACGGAGTCTCTTTGTCTGAATTGCATGTGTTTCTTATCAAGGCAGCCAGGCATAGGCATATTTCCAAACTGCACACAAGGATCCTTTGGGGCCAATGAAAAACCCAGACCTTACAGCGCCCCCTACCTGCACCAACTTGTCCGCTTGCCCTTTATTAGTCTTGAAGCCTTAATTGTTCTCTGATACCTTTTAAAGATTATTTTCCTTTCGGGAATTAATTATTCACTACACGCCCTCTATAAACTCACTATTGTTTTTTTCTCTCTTTCAGTGCCTCCCTTCCTCTTGTCAGTTTGATTTGCTGTGTTTCTGTCAGTAGCTGACTCAAGGCAGGTGGAGGGGTTTCCATGTGCTTTCCATTTGCCCTGGACTGAAACGGCCGCAATTAAAACCAAATGTGCAACCTGTGGCTTGCGCATGCAGCGCCGCTCTGACACACAGACTTGTACTTGCAAATAGTAGGCCGAACAATAACAATTCAGATTTATTGCCTTGATACAAAATGATTGGCAGAACTCTGGAAGTCTGCTAGTTTTATTTTCTCTCTATTTTGGTCGGGTGCTAGAAGTGCGGAGGCCAGGGTGAGCGAGAGGCCAGGCCGGGGTCACTGGCGAGATTCAGTTAAAAAAGGAGAAAATTATGCGGGCAGCTGAAGTTTCTCCGCTGCAGCCAGAATGTCTGCTGACCACATCGTGTAGCTTGAGGACATGGAGACTATGATTAGAACCCTGGTAGGCAGGGCTGGGGTGACTCTGGTAAGGTCGCATATAAGTACACCCACGTTGTAGAAGTGCAGGTCC